AACCTCTTGATTTTACAGATGAGAAAACTGAGGCCTAGGGAATTAAAGTGACTTGTTCCCAGATAATAAGGCTAGCCAGTAAGCAGATCTTACATCTGCTCCACTGCTCCTGTTAGAGGAGCTCCTGGTACAGATAGATCAACATATTCCAAGGTGCCTTCCTGGTAAAGATGTCTACAATGAGTCGATTTTGATTATAGCACATACAAGCCTCTTTTGAAATGCCTTTGGTTTTATTTTCTACTTAATAAGAATAGAAGATAACCTAAGCACCACATAAAATAGATAATAGGGAGAAATGAGAAGACCATTGGGCTTAATGTAAACAAGTCAACATGAATTCCTTGTGCACATACTGGAGCAAGCATGTTTTCCCATAAAACAAAGAGTGACGGGGCATGCAGCCTCAGAGTAAAATGTAAGGTAAGTCTTAAATCACCTACTAAGGATTTCTCTGTGTTGCTCAAAAGGACTACACATGCCAGACACACAGGTGTGATAAGAAAAGGCTTTCAGGTGACCTTGCTTAAGTGAGTCAGGTCCACTGTTTATCTTCTTAGAAAGAAAAGGGAGAAAGGTGGGTCATTCCCGTGGCACACCTAAAAAATACAGTCCTGAGTCTAAAAGGTTTAAAACACTAAACAAGGTAATTTGCTAGTTTGCTAATAAGGCCAATGATGCAAAAGGGGGTGGGAGGAGTCTATAAAACCAATTAAAAAGGGCATGTTGAGTGTTAATATTATATGTGTTACAGCCTTTAACTCTCTTCACCAGTTTGGAAAATAGGCCTTATTATGTCTACTTGAGAAGAAGCTGATTTCTGAGTATCGACCTGAAAAATTTGAAAACAAGTTCATAAAGATATATGTACCCCTATGTTCCCTGCAGCATTTTCAGGTAGCCAAGTCAGGGAAACAACCCAAGTGTCCCTGGATGGATGACTGGATGAAGAAGATGTGGCACATACATACAATGGAATACTACTCAACTGGAAGAAAGGCAGAAATATTGCCATTTGCAGTAACATAGATGTATCTTTCAAGAGTATCACACTAAGCAAAATAAGTCAGATGGAAAAGGACAAGGACCATATGATTTCACTCATATGTGGGATACAAAACAGAAAGCAACAAATGAACAAATAAAGCAAACTCACAGACACAGACAACAGTATGGTGGTTACCAGAGGGGACAGAGGGTAGCGGGAGGATGAAGAGGGCAAAAGCAGTCAAATATATGGTGATGGAGAGACTATAGACTACGGGTGGTGAGCACACAATGCAATATACAGATGAGGTATAGAATTGTACCCTGGAAACTTATATAATGTTATTAGCCAAGGTCACTCCTATAAATTAAAAAAAAAAAGAAATAGAAGAAGCTGAGGTAATATGGACAAGGTTTCCCAGCTACTAAGTGGTAAAGCTAGAGTTCAAACCCAAGTCCCGTTTTCCCATTCTAGCCTCTACGCTATATGGCTTCCTAGTGGTCAGGATTAGATAGAGTAAATTCTGTCTCTCAATGTTAGCCTCTAAGCCCTTTAGTTCTCAATCCCATGATCATAAAAAGGATGGATGCAAAACAGAAGATACAGTACTTGAATGGGAAAAAGGAGGACTACAGTTTTTCATATCCATCATCCTTCTCCAATGGAACACAAACATCAATCAATAAGGAACAAGCATATTCTTTACTATAAGCAGCACCAGGAAATTCTGTTATACTCAGTTGAACTGTAACTTCTAAGCTGCCTCATTGTTGTATAGTCATACATGTTTCAGGAACTTCATGTTAGAGTTAAAACAAAGCTGAAGTAGACTTAAAGAAAGAAAACTTTCTTGGTTAAGCCACAATGTAAACTGGGGCTCTGTGGACATTTCAGGCTAAAGTGAGCCTGTCCCAGAGCATGTCCTCGGCAGCAACGTCAGCCCTCAGGTAATCTGGGCAAGGATGCTGTCCTCTCCTCTGCAGATTGACCATCACCTCATTTCTTTCCCAAGATAATCATTCAGAGGATGTTCCACTGATTACCTACTTCCACTAGGGTAACTTTTGGCTATCTTATCTACCGGGACACTGCCAGGAACCATAAAGCAAGCAAGAGAGGCTGGCGGGAGGCCAAAATAAACACCCTAACATTTATTAATCTCAACCCAGAGGAATTTATCGAGAGCACACTATTTACTGGGCCTGTGCCTGATGCTGGGGATGATGATAAGAATAATAATTACAGCAGTCACTACCATATACTGAATGCCTACCCTGGGCTAGACATTGTTGTAAATACTTATACTCATTTGATCCTCCAAACAACCTGAGGTAGCTCCTACTGTTATCTGTGTATTTGTAATATGGAAATTGAGTCGTGGAGTGGTTAAGTAACTTTACCAGGGTCACAGCTAGTAAATGGTGGATGCAAACCCAGATAGTCTGGCTTCTGAGTTTGGCTACTAGCTACTACACTATACTGCGCTCTAAATATGAGTGGGGATAAGGAATACAGGAGTCAATAAGACTATTCCCACCCCAAGAGCCTATAGTTTAATCAGAAAGACAGGCAAATAAGCCTTTGAGGAGCTCATAAACCAACCCAGTGTTCAGGGAAGGCTCCCAATAGTAGATGCCCTGTCAGCTGAATTTAGGAGCTAACCAGAGGGAGATAGGTATATGGGGAACATTCCAAGGGAGACAGTTGCTTTCATTAAGCCCTGGGGTGGAGAAAAGCATGGAGGGACCGCAGGCTGATCACTAGAGCTGTGCGCAGAATGTGTGTAAATAATGGTGCATCGTTTGGAGGGGAAGGAAGGAGGTGGGGGAAGGGGGGCTAAAATATGAGGGTGGAGAGGGAAAAGGAGGCAAACTCATAAATGGCCTAGCATGGCATGCTAAGGTATTCTGGAATTTACCTTGAAAGATCTGGGAGGTCCTGGAAGGGTTTGAACAGGGGAGCCAGGTGCATTTGAGAACACTGGGGTGGAGGAAAGTGAACTTATGTAAGAAATGTGCGAAAAGAAGTAGCAAAAGGGCCTGGTAAGTGACTATATATGAGGGGCAGAGAGCAGCCTGGGGCAACACCATCAGGATTCTACCTTGCAGATGAAGGCAGAGGTTTGGCACGAACTGAGTGAGACAGGAGCCCTGATGAAGGAGCGGTTTTCAGTACATGAGGTGTGATCAAACAGTATGGTGAATGTTTAAATAAAAAAAATGTATTGCAGTAGAAGATACATTGCCATTAATCCTCCTCAAAATACTCCCCCTTGTTTCGAACTTATCCCATCATTCATGCCACTTTCTGAAGCGGTTCTGGAAATCCTTTTTTGTGAGTGTCTTTAGTTGCGCTGTCATGGCTGCCTTGATGTCCTGGATGATTTTGACTTTGGGAAAGAGCCAGAAGTTACATGGTGCCAGATCCAGTAAATAAGGTGGATGAGGACTCACCATAATGTTTTTATTTGACAGAATTTGCCATATACTAGAAGCAATGTGTGACCTGGAGCATTGTCATGATGGAGGGTGATTTACGGTACACTTTAAAACACACCTTCTCTCAACCGTAGCTCACACCCGACTGACTGCACTGAACAAGTTGAAACTTGTCACACTGTTACTAAGGTTTGACTCTGCTTCCCATATTGAAGATCCCTGCCTTTCCGTTGGATGGCACTTGGCAGTAGCATTCTCCATATTTTGTGATCACAACGGAAAGGCTGCATGTCACACATCACTTCTGATATATGGCAATTTCTGTGAAATAAAAACATTACAGTGTGTCCTCATCCACCTTATTCACCAATGTGGTACCGTGTGACTTCTGGCTCTTCCCCAAAGTCAAAATGACCATGAAAAGTAAACATTTTGAAGCAATTCAGAACATCAAGGCAGCCACGACAGCACAACTAAAGACACTCATAAAAGAGGACTTCTAAAATTGCTTCAGAAGGTGACAAGAACAATGGGATAAATGTGTTTGAAGCGAGGGGGATTAATGGCAATGTGTCTTTTACTGTAATACAATTTTTTAATTTAAACATTCACCATATTTTTTTATCACACCTTGATGTGCTGCCAACAGAGCACAAGGAGCAGGTTTCAGATACGGGGAAGCATCCATTCTCATATAAGTCTCAGGCACTTGTCTCAGAGGAAATGCATCCAACAAAGAACTCTACATTCTTTCTTTAAATACTGTTAACAATAATAGGGTTTCCATCTGCCTTCCCATCTTCTGAGTGATCAGAAGCTAAAAACTCAGTGGGAAGGGTTTGCACCAAGGAAACAAGGAAGCTGAAACAAGGAGCAAGGGAGCAGATAGAAAAATAATTACAAGATACAACTTGGGAATGCGGCAACAAGACCTTCCCATCTCAATAAGGTAATCACAGCACATGGCAAGAATAGGTTATAAGATTAACCTAATCATCAAGAAAAGGTTAATTTGTGCTCTCTATGCTGTGTTTTAATATGTAAGGGAATAGGAGGTGGATTTCAGAAAGGCATTAATAGAAGTAGCTGAAATAAAAAGTTGTGCTGCAAAAGCTTCTGTTATTTATTGTGTTGTCGGAAAAGTCATGACGTATTTTTTCTATGTTTTTTGTTGCAAAAATGCGTCATGACTTTTCCGACAATCCAAGAGAAAAATCACTTGATGTGGAAAACCTCATTCACCACCATGATGGATAAAATATGCAATAGGTCCCATGTCTCTTTTCAGAAGACAGGTGCTTCAGTGATTGACACAGGCTCTTCCACCAAGATGAGCCTTCCACCCTCAAAGCCATCATCCTATTGTTCCCCTCTGTCACCTTGAGTGAGAAGGCCTAACGGCTCTGTGAATGCTGGGGAGTTTTATGGCAGATTTTGTTCAGTGACATTAAGCTGGCTCTCACTTTAAGGCCATATACTGTTCCCTTGGCAATTACTTCAAAAATTCTGACAGAAAAAAGAGAAAACCATTGAATTCAGGCACACAATTAACCAGTGTTAAATACATCCCTTACCTGTCCTTTATTATGACTTCACCGCAGGATTGGCAATAAAATGTGCAACAGTCTTGCGCTTGTGAGCTTTGATTACACATTGAAATCGGTTCTAAAGGAAATCAATGAAATAGCAAATCTTAGAGGTTTGGGACAAATATGTTAACATATTTATAAGCGTTTCATTGCCACAATAAATAACCATCAATAAATACTGTTTATGATCTACCCAGAAGTACACATTTAATTAGTATTACCTGATGACTCAACCAGGAGCAAATACTGTGAAGCATTTTCAAAAACAACAGATTTTGCTAAGTGTTTCAGAGCTAGGTGTTGCCCTAGCTTATCCATGTAACATACTGTTGAGTTGTTTCTCTCATTCCACAAATAGAAACACTGAGGATGAGAGAAAAGGGCCTATTTCCTTCACATCAAGCTGCCTTCACAGAGCTTCACCATCCTCAGCTTTCCCCAACTAGGTGTTAGGCAGTTTTTCATCAGTGTCGCTGCTGGTAAATAAAGCTTTTAAACTTAAGTTTAATTTGATTTAAATAAGATTTATGTCCATTCTGGCATATTACCAGTATGTACGAACAAAATGAATCCTGAAACTGGTTTTATTTGACAAGATCCTGGGAATGGAATGGCTCCTAAGAAGAATTCGATCTTCCAAGAGCAAACCTCAATGTCTGATTAAAGCTGTGGAAAAAAACATATATTTCCCACATTATGTGCAGCATAGGCAGTATGTTCTCTTAGTTTCCATTATTTTATTCATGAAGAAAAAAAAAATTTTTCACCCAACCTAAAAAAACCCCTACACAGAAATATGTCTATTAAAAAAAATCTAAAAAAATGAGGTCATATCCATTAAAACCAAGCAATTTTTATTTGGTTTGTTACTTTGTATGTATTTTAAGATTAAGCAGACCTGGGTAAGCTATCCAAATATTCTTTTCAGAACCAATAAACAAATTTTCAGTGAAATACTCCCCTCTGCTGGTCACTCAGCATAATGCAATGGAGCAGGTTCAAGTCAGAACTTTCTGACACGATGGCATTCTGGAAAAGCACTGCCACCTGGGGATGAATCTAATGCTTGTGCTGTATCAGATTTCACTATAGCCAGTTCCATGTGAAGGGTCATGATCTGGCCTATGTTACATTCAAAACTGTATAACAATATGTTTACTATAGTCCTTAAAAGAATGTCCTTACAGTTGAAAAATCAACTTTTCAAAAACCCTAAATCACAATTGAGTGCTAAAAATTTCAAAACTCACTTCCTACAACATATTTTGATTCCAGTTTACATCAGTATGCATCTATCTGACATTTATTCATTCAGCAAATATTAATTCACCGCCTATTACATGGAAAGCACTAAAGCAATTAAGTACTCAGAAATCTATTTTGCATGCCCTTTCATGCACCACAGAACAGGCCTTTGAAAGCTTTCCTGTTCAGATATTTGAGTAAAATATGTTTAAAAAATGTAAAGAAAAAGGAGGCCAATAAATGCAAATAATACGCAAACCAACACACAGAAGTCAATTTATTTTGTCCTCCAGTCAAAACTAAGCAATGTTTGCTGATTCCAAATTTTTAGATAGTACAAGTTTTGCTATTTGCATATTAACTGTTATAGAATACGGGTAGGCAACAAGCCAATTCTGTTTCTGGAAGGTCTTCATAACTCCTTAGTATGGGACCAAAAGTCATGGTCCCAGAAAACTAGCAGCAGATCTGAAAGCACTCCACCATGGCTTTCACGCCTGCCTTTTCCCAGGTTCCAGAGAGATAAAACATTCCTGTTGCGGTTACTGTTGTCATCGCTAAAGAGAAGGTGATGACCACACGAGCTAGACGCCCATAGCTTCTTCCCTGAAACACCTCCTCCTCTGCCCACTATTTGGTACACTCAGGCGGTCTGTTAGTCTATTTCCCACCTTAGTGACCCAGTCATCTTTCCATGAATATTCCAACAGTCATTCATTCTTAGTGTTTATCTTATATCACTTAAACTCCATGATGTTTCTTTTCCCTACCCCCTGTCCCTAAAACCAACTCCACCCAACTCAGAATGCTCATTAATCCAGTACTTGACCAAAATTAACTGTTCAGCAAAGAAGGCGTGAAACTCCCTCTATCTTCTCTCTCCTTTCAAAAGCCAGCAAAGAGACTTAGGGGAACTGAAATATGCTCCCCATCTCTTAAATGGCTCTTCAAAACAATCCTCCTGACCCCACCTCCAGGCACCATGCAGCTCAGGTGAAAGGCTTAGTATAAATGAAGTAGCAATGAAGTCTCAGGGCACAGCTGGAAAAATTAAACTCCTTCACTGATAATAAGCATCCCATCAGTCTGTTACAGCCTCTGTCACCCCCTTTTACATCATTTTTAATCCTCCAACGTATATTACTTACACGGTAGGAGATACAATAAACTGAATAATTTTATTCAATAAATTATTCTGAGAAACATTTTTACCATCTTACTGAATCAATGTGCCGGTAACAAAATTTTGGAAATATGAGAGGCATAGCTCCAATCAAAATCAAATTTTGCATCAAACTCAACTTCAGAATCCTTATCTGTACTGTTCTCTCTAATTGGAAATGTCTCTAAATGAATGGGATCATTTCCACCATTCAGTTCCCTGGCCAAATACCACCTCCTCCAAGTGGCCTTCCCTGAGTGCCCTCAGCCCGACCCTAGTCACTCCCTATCCCCTTATTCTGCTTTGCTTTGCCTATAACACTTTTCTCTGCATCCAAGTAATTAATTTGGTCATTATCTATCCCACCCATTAGAACGTAAGCTCCACGAGGGCAGAGACCTTCCTAGCTTCTTCACTTCTGTATCCCTAGAACCTAGAGCAATGCCAAGCATGCAGCATCAAGTAATGTTTATTAAATTAAAGAACTTCTATGTAATGCTTTAAAATCAGCCAGGTCTTGCACAATTGCCATCTGATTTAATCTTCACATCAGCTCTGTGAACCAGGTAATTTTATAATTAAAGAAACAAAATGGGGTATCGGGAAATCTTTGCACCTTCTGCTCAATTTTGCTGCAAACCTAAAACTGCTCTAAAAAGTAAAGTCACTTAGGGAAAAATACTAAAATAATAATAATAATAATAATAATAATAATAATAATAATAATAATGATGATGCCTCAGAAAGGTTAAGTGACATGTTCAACTGCCCACAGCTGATACCTCCCTGACAGCAGAACTGGCAAAGAACCAAGATCTCCTTGACTCCCAGCTCTTTCCATGCCCGTGATAAGCAGCTGTTTTCACCTAGGAAAAGTTCTACTTTTCAAAGGAAAAATCACCTTTGATTTATAATGCAAAAGTACATGCAGGGACAGGAGTGCTCATATGACTTACTTGTGCTGGATTCTAGCTGCGCCTGCAGCCGCAGGTGCAGTCCATCTCCAGGCACGTACTGCAGCCCGCGGCAAGAGGAAGGTACAAGCCTGACCTCTGCTGGAAAGCAGATCTCAGTGCAGCCTGCAGGGGTTTTCATCTGGAGCGAGGATGGAGTTATAGAAATATCCATGAGCAAACCTGCTTCTTTTGGCTCTCTGGTAATTCAAAATAAAACACATACAATTTCTTTGATGAAAACCACATGATGAAAGAAACATAAATGGCAAAGGATCTCCCTGTTGCTCTTTACCAGGACCTAAAGTCAACTATCCCAGAAAATGACAGTGAAGCGATCATAAAGGAAACCTATCTGTACTAGGTTTGGTTCAGGTCAGAGTGTTCTTAACACTATTACTGTAACATGAAAGTTCTGGGATGTATATTTCCTTCTTCTTTTTTAGTGGTATTGATGTGTTTTAAAATGTGCACTTGTCCCCCACTGCTAGTGATTCTGAGTCCCGACTCCCTCTTCTGTCCTAATGGGAGCTTCCTGGGCTTACTCCCGGGACCGCTCTGCTTGCAACAGGCTGCCGTTCCACTTCCTCATGCTCCCTAGTCTCTCCCACCAGCCGCCCCAAGCGCAGCTTCTTCGAAACAGCACAATCTAATACTGGCCTGTTAAACGTCTTGTACTTGTTCTTTAAAATATTTTTGGCAAGATAATTCAACAAGATTACATAAGACAGTGGCTTATGCATCTTTGCATCCCTTGACCCTCTTATGGTTTACACATCCATTCACTCTCATTCATTCATTCAACATATTTTTTGTGAGTTCTGTAATGTGCCAGGTACTGGGAATACACAATTAACAAGCTATCTGCTCCCTTAAGTAGGGGACAGGCAAGTAAACAGGAATGATCAAGGGATCAATGAAAACTACATTGTACTTATTCATGATAAATACAGGGTACTAGGAAAGCACATGGAGGGGTATAGTGACTATCATAGGTCGAGCACTATGTAAATATTACTTGAGTACCAAATGGATGAGTAAAATATCCTTGCTTCTCAGACCAACATTACAATGATGTTTTATTTTACTCACAATAAATTATTGTTATTTGATATGCAAGATTTTAATAAGGAGACAGGGATTACGTGAAACAAAAGGTAAAGGAGAAAAAAACTTTCATGTCAATTTTAAGCATAAAAAATTAAGAAAACAACCTAGTGAGTATGAGTAGGCATAAAAAGACTTAGTAATCCAGTTCCCTACAAATCACTTGGTATAGGCAATGAAGAGTACAACCCGGCCCCTGTCCACTAGACACCAAAAGTACAGAGGGGGAGAAACACATACAGAAATGACCTTCATATGAAGCTGAAATATGCTTAGCATTGTCACAGAGGTGCAAAAGCACCCTGAGCCTCTGTTAAGTGCAGACAGAAGGGGCAGGCCACCCACTTCATGTCATCTAAGTGCAGAATGCGGGACACCTCCATGAGTGTCACCTAAGTACAGAGGTCATACCATGTGTTCAGTTGTGAATGTTGGTTGGGCCTCTTCATTTGCCTTAGCAAATCTTAAGACCACTTTCTGGCTAGCTCCCTCTTAAAGTTAATGGGTATACATTGAATTGGCAATACAGAATATCAAGAACCCAAATCTTTTCTAGGAAGACAGCCTCACACCTTTGAGTCAAAAGTCCAGTTTGAAGAAATGATGTTTAAAAAGTCATAATCTTCTAAAGCAAAGGTCAGAAAACTTTTTATATAAAAAGCCAGATTGCAAATATTGGGTTGTCAGGAAAGTCATGGCGCATTTTTGCATTGAAAAACATAGAAAAAATATGTCATGACTTTTCTGACAACCCAATATTTCAGGTTGTGCAGGCCATATATGGTCTCTGCTGTATATTCTACTTTGTTTTTTTCTTTTGTAAACAACCCTTTAAAAAAATGTAAGGGCCGGCCGAGTGGCTCAGTTGGTTAAGAGTTAGCTTAAAAGTGCGAGCTCTGAGCAACAGGGCCACCAATTCAATTCCTACATGGGCCAGTGATGCTGTACCCGAGCTGAGCTGAGCTGCCGCTGAGCTGCCGCTGAGCTGCCAACAGGTGGCAGGATGGCTCAGCTGGTGAGAGCACGTGATCCTAACAACAAAACTGCCTGTTAGATGGTGGGCTATGCCCACCCCCAACTAAAACTGAACTCAGCACCTTGAGCTCAGCTGCTGCCCTGATGGCTCAGTGGATAGAACATGTGCTCTTAACAACAAGGCGGCCGGGTTCGACTCCCGCATGGGATGCTGGCTACGCCCACCCGCAACTAAGACTGAACACAGCACCTTGAGCTTAGAGGCCACGAGCTGCTGACAGGCAGCCATGTTGGCGACTGGCGTCCTCCACAAATAAGACTGAAGAACAACAAGTTGGCTGGTCCCCTTCCCCAATTCTCCATCACTGTTCCCCTTCCCCAATTAAAAATAAAAGTTAATTAAAAAAAAAAAAGTAAAATCCATTCTTTGCTTATAGGCTGTACCAAAACAGGATGCTGGTTAGATTTGGCCCACGGGCCATAGTATGCCAACCCCTGCTCCAAAGATATACAATTTGCCCGTTTTGCTACTTCAGTGATTTTCAAATTGGACTGTGCTGTTGGTACTTGGAAGTGCCCCAAGAGATACCACTGGGTTCCTAAGCCCCCTCTCACCCCATCTCTGGCTTACCACTCTTCTTCCTCTTACCCTTCCTGGAAAAAAAATCAGCCTATGCATAAGGCTGAGCAAAGCAGGCATTTATGCAAGGGTAGGAGAACCACAGTGGCCTGGAGTTTATGTGAGAAGTCCAGCAAGGTGAGGAGGGCACCCACCATACAGCCTATGAGCTAGGGTGAGCCATCCAGCAGCCATGTCAGATCCCAAGAGGGGAGAGGAGGAAATCTGAAAGGGAGGTGAGGAGCAGCTCAGCATGGGGTTTCAGAGCCTGTCTTAGCTCAGGCTGCTATAATAAAATACCATAAACTGGGTAGCTTAAACAACAGACATTCACTTCTCAGTTCTGGAGGCTGGAAAGTCCAAGACCAAGGTGCCAGCAGATTTGGTCCTTATTGACAGCCTTCTTCCTGGCTTGCCAATGGCCACCTTCTCTCATTGTATCCTCACATGAAAAGGAAGCTTTGTTGTTTTTTCTTCTGAGGGCACTAATCCCATTATGGTGGCTCCACCCTCATGACCTCATCTAAGCCTAAGTATATGCGAAAGGCCCCATCACACTGGAGCTTAGGGTTTCCACGTACGGATTTTGAGAGGACATCAACATTCAGTCCATAACAGCCCAAGAAGGTGAGGAGAGTGTCAAAACTGGAGGGGGGTGGGGGGAAGGAAGCGGCAAAAGATGTCAGTGGAGTAGTTGCATTGAGGAGAACTGACCAAGTGAACACGTGTCATGAGGATAATGAAAACCAGGATTCTCGCTGTGGGAAGAGTGTTACGAATAAGGAAAAGGATGCCAGAATGCATCCTACGGTGGTAGACTAGGATGGGAAACATCTGCGTGAAGTCATGGTTTTCAATGTACATAAACAGATACAGTAAAAAAATACAGAGGTATATGTACAGAGGGTGCCAAAAAATATATACACATTTTAAGGAAGAAAAAAAAAAACTTTTAAAATTGTAATATTCGAAACATACTGATAACAAAAGATGAATACAAGTCACGTTTGACTTCTGCAATTACAAGAGGTGCTCAAAGTGGTTACCATCAGTATAATTTTAAATTGTCTTTTCCTTTCTTAAAATGTGTATACATGTTTTTTGGCACTTTCTGTATGTATGTGTATATATGATATAGATACAAATACACACACATACATTCATACATAAGCATCATATATATCTCACACACACACACACACACACACACGTTCTGTCCACTAGCAGGCCTAGAAAAAAATGACACCCCAACAGTAATGAGCATTTTTTATGCTCGTATCTTGGTTTGTAAAGGTCATTTTCCACTTAAAAACAAATGAATGAAAACAAAATAGGGTTCTTTGGGAAAATACCTTCATCCAGGTCTGGAGTAGGAAAAAAAATGAGATGAGCCTAGACAACTTGCTGTACAACAAACAAGAAATCAATAAATGATAAGGACAGGTCAAAAAAGACAGAACTCATCTTGAAGGGACTCCCACTGGCCAAATCTGGTGTCATCTGAGCAACCCACTGAAAAAAGACAGGACTATGGGTTCATATTGATATAAATGAATGAAAGAATAAAATAAAAGTCTGATGAAGAAAAATGTATTTACATAGATAGTCTCAAAGGACCTCTCCAATTAACACTTTTGAAGTTTTCAAAACCCTAGTCCTGTCAGACCCTGCTTGAAACTATCCAATGACTTCACATCTCACTGTGAGTATAAGTTAAAGAACTTTCAGTGGTGTATAAGACCCACGGATAAACTAGAGCCAACTGTTAAAATTCCAGGCATTTTGCAAACCAGTTAACCTCACTTCGGTAGCTTGACATCATCCATAGTAAAAGTATTTAAAGCACAGAGATCAGTAAATGTGGCAAATCAGGGATATTTTTGTTTAGTTGGTTGCTTTGTTTTCCTGGAGAGCAGGTTGTTAAACATTTATCAGCACACCACTCACTGTAAGACCCTACCTACTATGCACTCTACCAGCCCACCCACATCTCTCTGAACTAGGCAACCCTTCAAACTTACAGGGAAACAGTCTTCTATCATGTATCCGATAGTCCCAAACCTTACTTCTTTCAGTTTATTATGCAAATGTTGCTTTCTCATTTGGAATAACAGGTTGTAACTGTTTTCTCCCTATCCCTTTTTCTGTTTTATTTTTTTCTGGATACTTATCTCCATTCAATATAATATTATATATATTTTATGCTGTGTATTTTTTGCCCACTGCCATCATTAGATTGTTAGGTCAATAAGAGAAACTATTTTTGTCTTTGCTGTTCACAGCTATATACGCAACACTTAGAATCTCAGCTTTTGGAACTAGAATAGGAATTCAGTAAATATCTGTGGATTGAATGAATGAGTGGCTAAGGTTTATCCCAGGAATGCTAAAATAGCTTAACATAATAGATTTTTCTAATGCAATTTACAGACGTAATGATTAAAGGAAAAAATATGACCATCACAATACGTGCAGAAATCATTACAGAAAACATAACATCTATTCATAATTAAAATCCTTAGTAAAGTAGGAAAAGGGAACTAAGAAATCTACCAAACATATTAGCCAAAAGTAAACTTCACACTGAATGATAAAATGCTAAGTATTTCTTTTAAGATTAGGAACAAGAATAAAACTTAATCATATAATTGACATTAACTGTAAATAGACTACAAAATTCTAATTACAATGCAGAGCTTGTCAGAATGGATTTTTAAAAACTCCACCCAGTATATGTTACAAAATCTTTATACAGAAAAAGATTGAGAGTAAAAGGGCAGAAAAAGGCATACCAAGCAAACAGTATAGTCAACTAATTTCTGACAAAGACACGAGTTATTTCAATGAGAGAAACGACGGTCTTTCTAATGATTGTCAATAAAACTGGATATCCTTACAAAAAAACCAAAAAACTGAACTGTGAAACCCCTTCCTCAGTCCAAACGCAAAAATGAATTTGACATCTTCACAGACCTAAATGTAAAAGCCAAAACTATGTAACTCCTAGAAAATAAACATAGGAAAAAATTATTTACAATCTTGAGGTAGACAAAGATTTCTTAAGACACAAAAAATATCAACCACTAAAAAATGCAATAAACTGGACTTCATTATAATTAAAATTTTCTGTTCATCAAAACACTATTAAGAAATGAAAAAGGTAGGGCCGGTCGGGTGACGCAGTTGGTTAGAGCTCGAGCTCTGAGCAAAAGGGTCGCCAGTTCGATTCCCACATGGGCCAGTGCACTGTGGCTGAGCTGAGCTGCCAACGGGTGGCTGGATGGCTCAGTTGGTTAGAGCGTGTGCTCTTAACAACAAGGTTGCCAGTTTGACTTCCACAAGGGATGATGGGCTGCGCCCCCTGCAACTAGATTAAAAACGGCAACTGGACTTGGAGCTGAGCTGCACCTTCCACAACTAAGACTGAAGGACAACAACTTGACTTGGAATTGATGGGTCCTGGAAAAACACAATGTTCCCTTCCACAATTCCCCAATAAAATCTTTAAAAATTGAAAAAAGAGAAAGAAAGAAAATGAAAAGGTAAGTTACAGACTGCAAGAAAATATTCATATACTCACAAGGCATAAATGAGAAAGGTCTTGTTTGCAGACTAAACATAGAACTCTTTAAATTCAACAATAAGACAAACAACCTGATTTTTTTTAATGCCAAAAAATTAGAAGATACTTTACCAAGGAACATGTGTGAACAACCAAAAAACAAACGAAAAGGTGGTCAACATTATTAATCTGGGAAATACAAATTAAAAATCAGAATGAGATACCACTTTCTACCACTAGAATGGCTAAAATCAAAAACACTGACAAAACTACATACAAGCGAGAATGTAAAGCAATTGGAACTCTCTTTTTTCTGGCGAGAGTGTACAATGATACAACTACTTTGGAGAACTGTTTGGCAGCTTCTCATAAAATAAAGCTCCCATCCACCCTATGACCCAGCAATTCCACTCGGGTAATTATCCAAGAGAAAGGAAAATGTATGTCCACAAAAAATCTTATATGACAATGTTATAGCAGTTTTATTCATAATAAGAAAGTTCTAGAAACACACAAAATATCCAGTAATAGAAGAATGTATAAATAAGTCATCATATATTCATACAGTGTAAAACTACTCAGCAAGAAAAAAAAATGGAGTACTGATACATTTAACAGAATAGATGAAACATGAATCTCAGAAACACTGTTGAAGGAAAGCAGCCAGAAACAAAAAGGTGCATGCTGTATGAATCCATAGTTAAAAATGGCAAAACTAATCTTTACTGAGTGAAATTAGCAGTGGTTTTTATAGTAGGAGGAATTGACAGGTGATAAAAGCTGAACAAGGACTACTGCGGACCAGCCAGTAGTTCAGCAAAGTTAGGTTTCTGAACTTGCTTAAACAAGGGAGAGTAATCTAGGAGAACCTTGAAGTGCCCCTTTCGTGAGAGGATGTGGGGAGTTTTGTTCTGTATAAGGCCTGGGCTCCTAATAACCCTACAAGCCGGACTGGAATTGGAGATACTTATCTGAACTCAGGGTTTGAGAGGTAGAAAGAAGAGTGAAATAGCCCCTGAAAAAAAAATCAGATTAAATGATTCTACCCTCGTAAAGAAGGTAAGATTTGAATTCACTTATGCCAAATCCAAAACTGCCACACCAGACACCTGCCTAAGAGAAAAGAGAAAGCTAAGCATCAGTCTGCCTCAGAGTGGCGCTGTGTAACAAAATTTTTAGGATTGTAACATTTAATTTACTTTATTTGAAACTGGTCACAAGGGAATAGTAGAACGGATCACATACTACAAAACAAACAACAGGGAGAACGCTTTCTGTTTGCAGACTTCTCATTGGAGCTCGGAATCTGAATAAAAGAATGAACTCCAATTAGTCTGCAACTTTTGTTAGTCGTCTATTGAACACACGTTTTGAACGACTTTGTCAGTTTCCCCATACTGAATAATTTGGGGAGAGAAAAAAAAACACCGTGTTTATTTACAAAACAGGAGGCTCTCACTTTGGAACTGATGTTATAATGAGGATCCTGAAAAGAGGTGGACAAGGCATTTTTAGCACTGTTTTGTTGGAAATGCCAGGTACTGTCACTGGTGTTTTACATCAGCGATCCCCAAACTTTAACGTGCATCTGAATCCTGGGTAGCGTGCGTGTTACAATGTGAGTTCTGATTCAGCAGGTCTGGTGTGGGGCTGAGACTGCATTTAAAAAGCTCCCAGGTGAGGCTGAGATGGCCAATCGAATGGGGACTGGGGAAGGGCACTCCACTTGAGTAATCAAGAGGGCTCTAAGCAACTGGAAAGAAGAAACTCAAAAATCCGTCCATCCGAGGGAGGCGGAGACTCCTCGGGCAGCCGAAAAGCGAGCTAGGCACTGCGCCTAGGAACCCACACTCCCAGCCCTGGCCTTACCCCAGGATCAGCAGCGCGCTCTGCAGCCGTCTCCGCACTTCCAGGAACACCCGCGTCTCTGCCGCTGCCGCCATGGCGGGGGCCCAGCCGGAGGTTCTGGCGAACCCGGGCCACTGGGGCCAGCAGCGCCTGCACACGCGACCCGAGTAGAAACAGCAGCACGGCAGGGGTGGTGGCGGCGGCGCGGGATTCCCGGACTCTCTCGCTCGGCTGAAACAGCCAGCCAGCCCACAGCGCCACCTGCCGGGCGGAGAGCGCGCCTCCGCGAGGACTGGACCTGCGGGGCGTGAGCATTTTCAAATCCCGATCGGTCTGTGCTCTGAGAAAGATGGGCGGGGAGAGCCGAACGATCCTCCCACTCTGCTTCTTATGGGCGTGACAAGATGCTTTAGTCTCCCTGGAAATGACCTTTAAAATCAAACCCTGAGCGCACGCATTTGGCTAGTGTGGATAGAGGTGAGGCTGGAAGAGAGGGAGACGATGAAGGGAGGCAATACAAGTGGGCACTGTCCCCAGGAGGCCCGAGAGCAGAATTTTCCACCCCAAACCCACTTTATCTTGTTTTTGTGTTTAGTTTTGGTGTTTTTTTTTTTTTATGAACTGTGGTCTCTTTTAAGAACTGTGGTCGGGCAGATCTCTGGTAGTTCTCTATATGAGGCATCATATGTCCAGGACTGACTTAGCATCGCTTCTAAATTTAGACACGATAACTCCAAGATGAAACAGAAAAACGGAAGAAGTTTTCTGTTCCCTGTGCAGAAGAGTGTGGTTAACTCTAGTTTCATGAATCACAGGATTAACCGTTTTTACAACCTTTGATAAGTCCTGGACTTACTGTATGTATATCCTTTTCCAGGCCACTCCTGCAGTTGGTGGCTGTGGGCCACTTCCCTGACAGTCCCCGTGAGGGCGCCATGGTAACAGGTAGCAACGGGAAGCCAAGAGCTGGGCGGGGGAGGAGATGGAGCACCGTTGACGTCATCACCGGCGTGGGAGTGAGCGCCGCGCGGTGCACGCCGGGAGCTGTCACTAGGCCCTTAGGCTTTCGGCCTCTGGTGTAGCTGCCGCGGTTGCCAGGAGAGCGGCGCTGGCGGGTAGCGGCGGAGCCCACAGCAGGTAACAGCGTCCCTTCCTCCAGATCAGTCGCGGGCCGGCCGGTGGCCCCGATCGGCTTCCTCGGCCTGGCTCGTTCTGAAGTCGCGGGGACACTCCGCGGGTCAGGCTGCTTGTGGCGTCGGGGGTGTAGCCGCCCTGGCCCCGCTTTGATCTGCGAAGCCGGCGGCTGCCCTCTGGTTTCCGGGGAAGCGGGAGCTGCGCTGGGACCTGCGAGCCGGGCCGGCCGGAGGCCTCGGACGGCCTCGGGCAAGGGTGGCGGTGGGCGGGGCCGGGGCGTCCGGTGGCTGGTCCCGAGGCTCCCGCGTTGGCACCGAGCTGTGCGCAAGGTGGGGGTGGAGGTCGCACCTTTGCGATGAAGGCGCGCAGGTAACCTCTTTGTTGGCGGAATCAACGCGTCGCGCACTCTCATTAATTAATTTGTTGGGTTGTGTTTTTTTTTAATATTGAGGAGACACCAATGTCAGCCATGGTTAATGGTCCATGTGGGAGGTTGCAAAGGAGTGCAGAAGTTTATTAGAAGACGTCAGATTAGTCATAAGGAAGTTGTTAACAATTACCACCTTTGATTTCCAAGCCTGTTAGAGTTGCAACACACTTGTTCTTCTGCATTCTTCTTTCCTACCCTGAGCGGGGGAGGGCAAGTGGCCCACAACTACACTTTTCAAAAGCGATCTAAACTGTTTCGATTATTCTTACATTACCTTAGAGTTCTATAGAATTTGAGAAATATAAAGACTGGGAAAATCTGATTTGGAGAATGTAATAATGGCAATCAAAGCTTTTTTTTTTTTTTTTGGTAATTACAAGAAGTTAATGAAACTTAGTGTTTGCCTGACACATGAGCCCCGAACTATATAGTGAAACCAAAATCTCTCTATTTCGATGTTTGTTAGCTATCGTCAATGCAGATGTAAGATCTTAATTTTACTATGTGTAACATGTCAGCATACTGTGTTTAGTAATTCACCACCTGATAAACAACACAGTGATTTAGTTGATTGAGCTGACAGAAGTTATGACAAGAGAAATTAATACCAGTTGTACTACAAATGCTTTACTTTAGTGATTATTTTCAGTTGCACTCGGAACTAAACCATTTCCCAGAATTGCTAAACAATAGCAAATCTCCAGGTTGACCTGATTATTAGGAACCTAATCATTGAAGGAAGAATTAAAAATGCCTAACTTAATACACAAAGAAGAAAAATGTGACACCATAACCGAAATGTTAAGTGTATATGAAATGTTGTTAATTAAATATTTGACTATATAAAGTCAAAGGAAACCTGTTTTGTAGTTAAACTAGTGGAAAGAGCTCTGGCCTGGGAATGAGAGATTTCTTTCAAGTTCTTTCTCCTGCTAATCAGGTCTGATCTCTCTCTAGGCCTCAGTTTTGTCATCTGTTTAAAAGGGAATTTCATAGGATCTGAGGATTTCAAGCTGATGTTTCTTCTGAACACTGTTCTGAATTCATTAATAGTCTTAATGTCCCAAAACAGTGTTCCCTGGCAAATAATTTGGGAGCACATTGGGTTAAATCTGGATTTGCTTTTAACTGCAGGACTTCTCAAAGCCATTACTACTATGCTTGGGTTCCTCAGGGGAAAGTTATTGAATCATTTGCTAAACTTACCTGGACAGAGAGAGAGCCTATTTTCTCATGTCCAAACTGTTAACATCTCCTAGAATATAATTACAGTAAGTCCTCCAATAATGTTTCCTTCAATGCTGGTTTCTTATACCGTTGCTGTAGAAACTTTATGTCAATCCGCCTGTGGTAAAATTGGTTTCGTTATATGTCATTTCACCTCAGTTCCAAGAACTGACTTTCTGTACATAGAACACCAATTTGAAAATGACAGTACTTGAGCTGAGTCCCCTCTCAACTCTGAAATTCCCCGCATTATGTTTTGGCTTTCAGTTTAACCTTTCTGGAGCATGAAGATCTAGTGACAACTTACCGATATAACAAAGGCTTGTATTTTCCTTAGTAAATTATTAAAATTAAGGATGCACATAGGTTTCTGTGGGCCTTAATGCTTTAATTTATGACAGAAGAGTATCTTCTTTTTTGTGGTCTCTTGATGCTTTTCTATAACCATAATTATTTCATGCATTGAATTTGATTTTATGGTCAAGTTATTGATTTTATTAATAATTTCATTATAAAGCTCCAATAAGTAAAATCTTGTTAATATGGCATTATTTTTACTCTGAATGATTTCCCTCTCTAGTGAAATGTGATAAAAGCCACTTTAAATATACTTAATAACTAAATAATTTTAAGAGGTTAGGCCATTGAAAAGAGTTGTTAAAATGTAAATTCTAAGGCAGTTTCTAAATTGTTTACTATAGGGATCTAAGTATTGAATACAATCTTAAATTATTTTACTAAACTCTGTCAGGTGTCATTAGCACACAACTAGTGTGACTACTCCTGTCTATTCTTTGTTACTTTGTTAGTGATGAGTGCTATTAATGTGCTTCTTTCTTGAAGGGGTGGGGAGGAGACAGTACATTTAATTTTAATAGGTAAGCCTTAATTCAGGTATGTTCTCTCCCTGAAATAAAACTAGTATGTGGAAGTATAGAGCTCCTGTTTTTGTATAATAGTTAACAGTTTTTATCGCTTATTATATGAAAATAAGTACTTTTGATGCCCTTGTCTTTAAATTGTGATTTCTCTTTTCTCATTATGTTCACCTCACCTTCCCCAAGGAGTCAAGCTTGAAACCTCAATGATTTTTTATTGCATAGGTCAAATATATGGTATCACGTTTATCAAGGAAAAATTTACATACAGTTGCACTCATTTAACATAAACATTATATACACACCCATGTAACCCCAGCACAATCAAGATTTGAAGCATGCCACCACTCAGGTCTGTACTGTTATGCTTTTGTTCTCTTTAAATGTTCTCCCTGTCTTCTACATGTCCAGATCATACCTATCAAGTCCTAACTCAAATGCCACCTCCTCTGTGAATCTTTTTTAATTACCTCATTTTGAAGTAATTTCCTCTTCTTCTGACTTTCCTGTTTATATTTCTTTGAAGATCTTTTTTGTCCTTCATGGTGGCTTAATGAATGGCATGCTTATAGTAGGCATTTATTGTTGACTCAATGGGTAAGTGTAGTATTTCTCAAACTTCGTCATTTTTATATCATCTTCAAAATTTTGGCCATAGCTGCATCCTTCCTGCATACTTATTTTCTTAATATTTCTTTATATCAATGTGATTGTGAAAATAATTTTTAAAGGAAACTGAAGTAACCACCAGAAGTAAAAAGCAAGTATCACTTGCCATAAACGGAAGGTAGACATAAAGATGAAAATAATGAAAACAAAACAGTGTTGTCAAATTCTACCTAGAATTATTTGCCTGCTGAAGACTCTAAGCCTGAGATTTACTGTTCTTGGCTTAAAAGGGCAATTAGCAACAATTGCAGAGGTGTTGATAACACCTCACCAATTCTGAGACTTCAGAATGCAATCTGAGAAATTAAAGGATAATGAAGGGGGAATAACTTCCTCACTTGATTCAGTGTTACTTAGCCTTGTCTTAAACCCATAAAATAATCTCTTATCTGGTTGGTGGCCAGAATTTTGGGAAACACTGTAACATACAAGGCTTGGAAATGCGTTAGAATTTTATCTTTGAAAGAATTGGGAAATAAAGCCTTAGTTATAAATTCAAGGGTATACTAGAGTTAGCTTTAAAAATACAATATGAAGACAGAAAGTTAATGTGGTTATTATTGAATCACAATTGTCTATTTTTTCAAAAATGTTAGACTTTGCAAATAAAGTACTCACTTTTATTATTAGGGCACAGTATCTTTAAGAAACCTTTGAATCTAAAAAAATAAATATAAATATAAAAACTACTGGGAGCCTTTTATATGACAAAGTGATGACTTGATTCAAGAGTAATGAAATGTCAATATGTTTATCTGGCAAAGCTCTTATAAGAGTAGATGATGTAATAGCATAAAAGAATCTGATATCTCCTTTACTTCCTTCTCTCTTCTTAACTTAGTGCTATATTTTCATATATCCAGCCTATTTTCTTCTGAGGCAATGGAATATTCTCCTCTCTTATGGTAAGAGTTTTATGTGAACAGGCAGGAAAATAAATTCCCTACTCTTGTTCTGTAACATACGTCATATATTTCAACTCACTATGGTTATTTACAGGCATATATCTATATTATGAGTCTAACGTTTAAGTTGCCATTATTTTGTGCTCATGAACAAAGAGTTTAGATAAGCAGACTATTTATTTGGTGGTGTTGTTTTCCAAAAAAATAATTTACCTGAGTGTTACTAGGTTTATCAGTGCACACAATAATTTGCTATTCAACCAGGAGTCAGATTGCTTTTAATTTAAGGTTCTGAGATGCAACCTGAGTTTGGAAGTAAGAGCCTTTTGGATGAATTGTCTTTATTTTGTAAAAGAGCCTTCACCGAAACAAGTGGTTTCTTTCCTGTGTCTCTACTACAAAATAAAGCAGCAGTATAGAAGCAGTGCAGATAAGCTGTCATCATTGAAAAGTGACAACTGACTATAATCAGAAAACTGTAAAAAAACAATAGTCTTAATCCTTTGAAATAAATGGGTAAATAGCCCTGCATTTCCAATTGCTTTTGATTGTGCTGTTACATTATTTAAAAAGTACTATAAAATATCAGCCACCTGAAACCTTTAGGATATGTGTTATTATGATCAATCCAGTTTCCTAGATAATTGGAACTGTTATATATTGTGTACCACAAATGCTGTCCCAGTCTGCTGATGATACTTTTTGCTTGTTTGCAGCATGATGCACTTTTGGCACTGTGGCATTTCCATACACACTTGCACATATCTTAACAATGTGTCTAACTTTTAAAGTTTCTTGAGTGGAAGCTTTTCTCCTGAGAAAAGAAGATGGAACATACACTTGCCTTAACATTAGGGTCTGTCATTTTGGAAGAAACATAAATATTTAAGTGACTTCCATATTGTATGCCACCAATTATGTAAGTGTTACCACCAGTTAGTCAGTACTTCGCCTTTGAGCCTGAATGAGGAGTTCCAGCAAGCTTTTCTTTGTGGCATCCATCATTTTTTGGAAGGCTGTCTTTAAATCACTACGCCCTGAGCCTACCTGATTCTATTGGGTTGTCGGAAAAGTCATGACATATTTTTTTCTGTTTTTTGTTGCAAAAATGCATCATGACTTTTCTGACAACCCACTACATTTTGAAACTGCTTATTAGTTTATGTGATCTGATCATTAGTACTGTTTTTATTATGTCTTTTAAGTTATAGAGGTTGGTTTAACAAAGAATATTATTTGAGAATAAACTTTTTTTAGTTATGAATTGCTGTATAACACATTATTTCAAAATGTAGTGACTGAA